GCTTCTGGAACCCTCAAAAGCAGTTCTGTGTCAACCACATGTGTTCACACTCTCTTGATGTAGGTGCATGTGTGCAGTTGGGGTGTTTAAAATGTTTCACTGTATTGTTTATTCCCAGTCCGTGAACTAGTAGATTATTTTTTATAATAATCTTTTTCATAGGAAGGAAAACATACTAACTCGTTTTCTGTTGTTAGTATTTTAAATGGCTTTGTGCATGTGTGTGAAAAGAAATATCTTTTAATTTCTTTTCATAAAGGAGACACTTTTTATGTGGCTTAGGATGTGGAAGGCCCTTGGTTTTGACTAAACTTTCACAGCTAGTTACTGTTCTTTTTTTAGGCGGATGAGGCCTCCACTCTGATGTCTTCCAGAATGCTGGGGGTTTCCTTTCATTTTTTAGCATATTGCTACCAGTATATTTTATTGTTAATCATCTTGCTTCCTTTTGAAGGTAGATCTAGGAGAAATCAATTTAGCTACATTTCATTTAAAGGAGATTATTTTTCTTAATTTTTTCTCTTTTGTGGATGCATGGCAGTTGCAGTTTGAGACAAGGTCTTGCTATGTAGCCCAAGTAGCCTCAAATCTCAATCATCCTGCCTCAGCCTCTGCTGTGGGGCAGTAATGTTGACCACACAGCTCTCATTACAGAGCTGCTAAAGTATGTTGTTCTGGGTCAGTCTCTAGACGAGAAACTCCAGGGCCTCTGGTGTCATCTGAAGTGATCTTTAGGGAGTTTGCGCAGTCATAGTGTGCTGTTGAATACCTTCATGTGCTCTGCCATGTAAGCTCTCAGTTGTTTCAGGTATGTGTTCTTGTAGCCTCAGAAAACAGTCTGAGCCCCTTAGACAGGAGCACGTTAAAGTGACAACTTTACACCGACATCACCTCATCTCCCTCTGCTGCAAGCCTGACACATCGTTCTGGCAAATTTGATTGCATTAAGTGGGTCAAACTAAAATTCCAAGTAGAATTAACTCTTGGCACTCACTCTTCCAAATGGTTTGTCCGTCTTTCATTTACAAAACTGTAATTTGTTTTGTTTTGTTGCTAGAATGTCTCAGTGCAACAAGCAGATAAATGCATACATTCCTAAAGGAAGTATATGTTAATATCTTGGGTGGTGGTTGATATTTTATGTCATCTTCCTATAGCATCTAAATAGACAGATGGGGGAAAGGGAAAAAGAGGAAACTTCCTCCCAGGCCAAGTTTGGGCTTAGACTTTCAAAATACTGAATTGTGTGCTTTTTCAATATTTAAGATTAGAAAATCGTACATCTTTAAATGTGAAAGGCTTTACAGATTCATTTAGAAGTTGAATTTAGCTAGTAAAAGGAAAATTTTCAAGTCTAAATAGTTTCTTTTACATACAATTACATGTTGAAACAAAAGTCAGAGGCTAGAGCGCTGGCTGGGTGGGTGAGAGTGCTTGTTGTGTAAGCAGGTGGACCTGAGTTTGGACCTTAGCACCCAGTAACAAAACTGGGCATGGCCACACAGTGTTGTGGGGGCAGGGACGAGGCAGGAGGATCCCTGGACCTTGCTAGCCTTGTTCCAAGTTTAGTGAGAGATCCTGTCACAAGGGAGTAAGGCCGGAAATGAAAGAGCAGGGCACCCCACGTCCTGCTCTGGCCTCTGCACACATACATAGGCATGTGCACCCACGTGTACATATGCATACACCTCACATACCTGTCTCTGTCTCTGTCTTCTCTCTCTCTCTCTCTCTCTCTCTCTCTCTCTCACACACACACACACACACACACACACAGAATGAATCAGAGCTGCTATAAGGAAAGTGAGAAAGGAGACATCAGAGAGGCACAGAAAGGTATGGGAGGCCTAGAGGCCTGTTGCCAGGAGGGAGAGCATCAGCTAACTCCTAGGTAGTGCCTGGGGTCCCCTAGGCTCACTTTGCTTTCCTGTCCAGGCAGCAAGTTCCTTTTCCACGAATGTGTGGTGTTTGCTTTGAAATCGGTTACACATGGAGATCCTGTTTTGGCTACTTGCTGTGTTACCTGGATGCCTTTCAGGCTCACACTGGGCAGCTCTATCAATTTCCTTTTTCAGGTAGGAGTAATGTCTGCTGTAAGTTGTAGAGAGGTTGGAGGCAGTGTGCACAGTGCCTAGAGTATATTAGGACTGTTTTTGTCACTGACCATTTACTGTGTATCTATGCCTATCTTCCATTCCCAATATTCCCACCATCCTAGCCTAGCACATGATGTCTAACTGCCCTCTGAGCATTTACTGTTGTGACACAATTCACATTATTACCCCTGGGAAGCCACATCCAACCTCCACGCACAATTGTATGCTCTGTGGTCCTATTTCACTGTGTCCAATGCACCTCTTCTGAGTGTGCTGTGCCATGTGGCCTCCTGAGCTTACAGAGGGTGAGAACTAGAATCCACATGTTGGAGACTGCCTGCTCCTGCAGCTGTTTTGCATGTTATGTTCTCTTGCATTAGTCTTTAAATGAGTTAAAGGTCTTGCCCAAGAACCCAGTGAGGGGTTTAAAAATAGCAAGTGTGTTCCACCTACCTACTAGATTCACATTTGGAAGAAAACTGAGTCTTGTATTTTTTTCTTGGCCTCTTTAGTCTACACACTCTAAAAGACTTAAAAGTTCTAAATGCAGAAAGGGTCTTAGACTTCAGAGAAATTTTGTATCCAAGAGTATTGAAAATGTATGCTAATATGGTAAGTTATGAAAATCACAGACTTACTCATTTTTAAATTGGTTGTCACAGATGCACATCTGCAGTTCTGTTTAGCAGAATGTGGTTTTGGAAACTGGTAATCCAGTTTGGAGTTTGACAAGCCACAACTTATGGGACATTCATACCTCTGGAGCCAGGTTTCAGTCTCTCACTGCTAGACTTCATGGTGAAAAGCCAGACTGTAAAACTAAAGCAAACCCTGATTCCAGGCCATTGCAGTCTTCAACAACTGCATGTCCTGCATCAGTGTCTGAGCAGGGTAAGTCTTTGAAAGCTTGTCCTTGTGTTTAGATCTTGGACTATGGCTTCCTAGGGCACCTTGGATTTAAATCCGATGGAAAAATAGCCATCACCCTTGACCTCCCTCCTTTCTCCATCATTTTAAAACATGTATTTTTATATCTTTTGTTGTCTTTTTGATATATTGTTTTCCTAGAATTTTGTTTCTTGGAATGTTCCTGGTCTTTTCAACTTTCATTTCTGTATGAAAAAAAACAAAAACAAAACTGTTCAAATGTTAATAGGATATTATGTTGCAAGAAATGTCTTTTTATTGGAGGTGACTTTTTAATAGACAGCAGGCAAATTTCAGGACTTTTTACTAGTGCTGTCAGACTAGGAGAAATGTTGAAAGTACTGTACTTCCAGAGAGCTGGCCCCTAGCTAGGGCAGGAGTGGTCTTACAGCTGTGTGTTGACTAAGGGGTCCTCTCTGCCCAGTGGGGCACCTTTTCTCGGTGATGGGGTGCAATGGTGCCCATGGCAGGGTGGAATGCCGCAGGCATGGATGTCTGTGCCCCTTCTCTACTGTGCCCTGACGCTCCAGGTCTCTGCCCATTTCAATGAAAGATCTCATTTAGAATGAGTCCATGTAAATGTGTGGATATGAGAATTCCTACACAGACATGCATTTCTCTGTATAAAATTTACTCTTGGCAATTTTTCAGTTCTCAAGTCTTTCTGCTGTGCTAAAGGGGGAAAGAGAACACACTGTAGTTCCATGGTAGAGCATTTGCCTGGCATGTGCAAGGTCCAGGGTTTAAATATAAAGACTGGCTTTTTTTTTTTTTTTTTTCTTTTAGGGTTTTTGAGACAGGGTCTCCCTGTAGCCCCAGCTAGCCTGGAACTCACTGTGTAGACCAGGCTGCCTTGAACTCAGAGATCTGCCTGCTTCTGCCTCCAAGTGCTGGGATTAAAGGCCTGCACTACCACACCTGGCTAAGACCTGGCATTTTTTTAAAGCACACTGTTACGAACTGTCCTTAACTTCAGTTTCAGGGGAATCTGAAACCCTCTTCTGACCTCTTCAGCATTGCATGACATGGGTGCACTCACATACATGTAGGCAATACACTCATACACATAAAATAAAAATAAAATATTTAAAAGAAAAAGTGAAGTTCTAATTACACGAGGCTCTGATGTCCTAGGTGTGGCTCTCCTGAAGGAAGATAGGTTGGACTAGGATGTGTGCATAATTCATCCTGTGTTGTTAGACCCTCCATCTAGATGTGTGCCCTGAATGAACCAGGCCTGGACCCAGGTACCCTGACAGGACTGCCTCACTATACATTGGCCCCACTGCCAAGCCCCCTCCTCACTGGCTTGATTTCCAGAAGCAGCTTGAGTGGATACTGATATGCTTCGGGAACAGGTTCTAAAGTCTGATGCAATAGCTCTTCAGTGAGACTTTCTGAGGAAGTGGGGTTTCATCCTTTATGGGGTACTGTTCATATATAATTTTGTAAATATTCGTGAGTATAATGCTCTCATACCTTTTAAGCTTCTGAAAACTATGAGTGTGTTGAAGCTGGAGAGATGGCTCAGAGGTTAAGAACACTAGTTGTTCTTGCAGGAGACCTGGGTTCGAATCCCAGCACCCACACAGCAGCTAACAACTGTCCATAACTCCACTTCCAGGGGATCTGACAGCCTCTTCTGTCTTCTGCAGGCATTGCACGACATGGGTGCACTTACCTACAAACAGGCCATAGACTCATACACATAAAATAAAAATAATAAATAAAATTAAATTAAAACAAAGCTATGGGTGTGCAGTTTACCTTTGTAAGGACAATTTCTTGCACTTTTTAATCTGTTAAGTATAGCATCTGAGTGCTACAGACACTTTGTGAGTATGGAAAACAGGAGCTTAAAATCTAAAGGATTTTGAAGTAGTTTTTATAGTACTTAAATTCCTGTATACTATTTAGCTATGCCATTGGGACATGTATGTCTATATTTAATTAATGAATTATTATCTTTGACCACAGGAGCTCTTACCAAAGTAAAGGAGAGCAGGCGGCACGTGGAAGAAGGGAAGATGGAAGTCCAAAAGGCAGATGGCATTCAAGACCGCTGTAACACTATTTCTTTTGCCACGTTGGCTGAAATTCACCACTTCCATCAAATTAGAGTAAGAGACTTTAAATCACAGATGCAGCATTTTTTACAACAGCAAATAATATTTTTCCAAAAAGTGACCCAGAAGTTGGAAGAAGCTCTTCACAAATATGATAGTGTGTAACAGCTGGACATGAATACGATAGTGTATAACGGCTGGACATGAATACGATAGTGTGTAATGGCTGGACATGGGATTGTGTGCTTTTTTTCAGTTCAAGGATAATTTCTACAGCAAAATAAAAACTGCTATCAAAGAGCTGTTGCCAACTATCAGTGGTGGTTACAATGATGGTTCTGTGTTCAACTGAAGCCCAGCTGAACATAAAATTATGTAGGAGAGAAGCAGTTAATATGGTTATATAGTAGAAACAGTACCACACTTTGTAACTAAATTATACTATGTATGCCTACACTACCATTGTAACTTTTGGAATAATGATTATACTATTTGCCTTATTGCTTTTTTGAAGTATGGGTATCTTGGTGTATACTTTGTAGACCTCAAAACCCATGAAGAGTCTCAAAGAAGCTGGCTGGGTAAAAGCCTGCTGTGGATGATGCCTTTTTATTCTCATAGATCGAGATTACCTAAATTCAACCTATTCTCTGTTTACAAACAACTAGAGCAGCTATGCGACTTTGTGCCTTTAGACTCATGGTTTTTCATTTCTGCCCCACCCCCTCTTAATTAAGCCCCAACTTTCCTGATTGAAAGAATGAAAGGCCAGTGCATTGGTGACGAACTGATGGAAACCTCATACTGCTGGGGGCGGGTGGGAGGACCAGCTGCCATTACTTTGCACAGCAGGTGTCATCTCCTGATAAGATGCTGGCGGATGCGCAATGGCATCTTCGGAAGAGATGATGCACCATGTTCACTGACACAGTACGGTAGCATAGCCTCTCGCCACAGGGCCACTCATCTAGACTGGGCATGAGGATTTCAGTAAGCGTGTCTTAGGACAATGGAGGAGGAGGAGGAATCCCATCAATCAGGGGATAAAGTACAGAAACAGTGATGACACACTTGGTCTTAGTTCTTAGGAGGGTTTTTTTTTTCCTTTTTTTTTTTTTTTTAGCTTGAAGATTTTTCTTTTAATATTCAGTTTTTTTTGTTTTGTTTTTAAATGGATCTACACTGTTAACTGATTGAGACTCCACTGTGATTCACTCGTTTACTTAATCAAAAACTTTTCAGGGATGTCTGTAAATTTCAGTGTTATACGTGATGAAAAATGGTGTTGGTTGATCTAAGTAGGGACCAGAAGTAATTTCTACTATTCCAGTACTGAAGGAAAAATATTGATCTATACTGTGTTTTTAAAAACTAAGTATTGATAAAGCCCCCAAGACATTTAACCCTAAAAATTATTTTAAATACATTCTTTTATTACTATAAGGGAACTACAAATGGCTGTTAAATACCAAAAAGATTCAAAAGCAGCTTAATTTAAAAAGCACAAAGAGATTCTGGCTTGAAATGCCTAAATCTCAAATGTTTTTGTAGTTGCTGAGCTAAATAATGTGATTCTTGAGTTTACAGATTTAAAAACTGTCACTGAAAGGTTAAAGTACCTATATCTACTGTTTCTATGAAATCACACTTATGCTGCCTCAGAAATCCTGGTATTGAAATGGTGGCATGGGAGTAAAAGGTTAGTTTTCAAATGATGGTGAGTCAACAATTACACAAAAGGGTCAGTCTGCAGAAAGTCTTAAGAAGAAAAGGTTACTGGAATAATTACTCAACAGCACATTTACTCTCTAAGACGTAATCTCAAATGGGTTGAATTTTTAAGATAAAATTATAATAATTTTGATCTTTGGTTGAGATTTTGTACTTTAGAATACTTAGAGACAAAGTTGACATCTTGTGGCATTGACTTTACAACAGACATGTGGGACTGTTGCAAAAGCATTCTCTAAAAAGTAACTTCCTCTTGTTGATTGCAAAATACAGTTCCATAAACAAAACCCACATATATTTAAAAATTAATTTTATTGCAGAAGTTTGGAGGTAATAATTATAGATTTTAAGTTTGAGTCTGTATTAAACAAGCAGGCACTCCGCTTTTCAAATGATTTGAAAGACTTTTTTTTTTTTTTTTTAAGTAAAATCACTAAACTTGTGCAGAGGTAGCATGGAAAACATCTGAGGTGTCATATGATTGTGCTTTAGCCAGGGTGGACATAGCTTAAATTATAAAACTAAAATACAAAGAAGTATAAGTAAGTTCATGCTGCCTACTTCTGAGAGAACTTTTGTCCTTTATAACCATGTAACATAATGCCACTGATTCATAGGCGGGTTTAAATTAATTCTAGGGGTTAAAACACAAGAGTTCCTAGTGTCCATTTTCATCCAAGATCCTTATTCTCTAACGTTCTTGGTCCTATTGAAACATTTCAGTATATAAAAATACTGAGATGTTCATGCCCAAGAGAAAAGCCATTCTCATGTGTATGCTGGTCACGATGATCAGTGTGATACCATTTTTGTTTTTTGTTTTTAAATAAACTATCATGCCCTTCAAGCCATTATTTGTCTTTATTTCTAGACTTTGTAATTCTGATATGTGTGCATAGTACAAAGGTATGCGCCCTTGAACCTGGCTTTGTGGTTTTAACTACAGGCAGCTTGTGTATACTGTAGCTGTGATACAGCAGGATTGGTTGTACAGCCATGCACTGCTTTCCAGGCTGGTGTATTTGAAAACAGTTCACACCCAGAATAGGGAAACATGTTTGAAAGTGAAACTTAAACCAAAGCACATTGGCTAGAACAGTGTAGTGATTAGGGCTTTCCCAGGCTTCCCTGAGAGGCGACTTGCATTTTTTCTTAACAGCACAGCAGCTTCTCAAATGCTGATTTTTAAAACTGTCTTAAGTTTTGCTGCTGTTCTCATAACATGGACCTGAAAACGGTTTCAGTCTGTCAAGTCAAACGTGGTATTTACGTATGAACCTTTAAGTGGCCGGTCTTTACTGAACTTTTTGCTATAGGCTTTTTTTCATTTGTTTTTATTTTCTCAGAATCAAATACCCTATCTGAGCCTTGAACACCATAAACATTATCCAGTTTTCTCTTTTCCAGCTGTTATCTTTGGTCAACAGAGTAAGTCAAACAGGGTATTATTTATTTTTAGATGAGAAATGTTGAATATTGTTTTTATTTTCTTCATAATGTTATGAGTAGTGCAGATCACATGTGTTTATCTTCCAAAAAATAAACAAAGGTTGCTTCGTTTCTCAGCTTCAGTGGTATGCAGTGATTTTTTTTTCTCCATCAAGGAGGTATTTATTTAATATGAGACACACGGGAAAATGGAAGCATGTGTTTCTAAGCTTTCAACTCTAGTTACCACGTATATTGTCCATGAAACTAATTAGATTAACTTCAAACCACAAGCCATTCAAATGGTCTGTCTTGTGGAGTATTTATGTCAATTGTAGGGACCTAAAGGCCCCACCTTGCAGAGGTCCAAGAGGAAGTTACTGGGGCGAGGTCTGACTTGCTTTGAAAGTCTGAAGAATACTTCCGCCCTGCTGAGGAGTGCATGATCAGAGCTCGACCATCCTTAAGATACACCCTGGGGGTGGGGGGCAGATTTCCAGGTGCCTTTATAAGCTCTGTAACACCTATAATAAATGAGTCCCTGCTTGACTAGGCTCCCTGTTGCACCTGAGTGTTCCCAGTATTAGGGGTGGCGTGGGCTGGCGAACAGCGTGCTTACTCATCCCCAATCATCACTGCCCGGGGGTCACTGGTTCGAACCCCTGGCAACTGGTGCCCAGCATTGTGCTCGAAGGAAGGTGAAAAGAACGAAGAAAAACAGATTGGGGCCAATCGAGACAGTTGGGGTAAGCGAGACTCAAAAGATGGGTAACGCAACTATTAAGGTTGAGGAACCGGTGCTTAAAGCGCTGAGACATATACTTAAAAGCAGGGTATTGGATTTGTCAAATCTGGTAGCTCAAAAGGTTTGGGCAGAGGTGATTCATTTGGCTCCCTGGCTACTTGGGGCTAATGTTTTTACTGGGGATACATGGGAATCATGGGAAGTTTGAGGAAGAAGGCAGAAATGCAACAGAAGTGAAACCAAAAGTGGCCAAAGTAACAAGCGGCACCTCAGGTGTACCCTGGCCAGCTTCAGAGCCTCCCGGGACCCATGAAAACAGGACCCATGGATGCCTTTTTCAGAAGGGCGGGGCGGAGCTCATGGGGTTGGCTGAGAAAGCCGCCCACCCCACCTGCCTTGAACTAATGCGTGTGCGAGTCAGGGGCCCGCGTGAAAGCTGGGCGGGGAACCACCCCCTGGTTGGTGACCAGCAGCAGCCACCGGGCTCATTTAAAAAAAGAAAAAAATATTAAAAAAAAAAAAAAACACCGTTGGCTGTGCACTGCAACCGGCTCCGGGTCGGCTGGGAAAGCCTGGTTCAGGAAAGGTGGCTCAGAGAGGGACCCATCCCGTCTGTTCCATGGTGGCCAGGGAACCCCCCCCCCCACAGTGTTACAGCCCCACTGGCAGCAACACTCGCCGAATCCCAAGGCCGAGGGAGTCCTTAGTAAAAGCCTACAATGTTTTCACTGACTGGGGCAGATATGGAGAAACCAAAAAACAACTCAATTCAAGGAACTCATGGCCATTGCTTTCTGACAGTATTCAGACTCGTAGCCTCCTTAGGGAGAGAGAAGCCCCTATTTTCTTACAGCATCTTAGGGGCCACCAAGGATTGCCTGGGCTTTTATCCCAAGGCAATGCAGAGGCAGACAAGATGGCTTATCATGTACAGGTACCGCCTCTGCAAAAGCCAGGAGTAAACCCCAGGGGACTCAAGCCCAATTCCTTGTGGCAGACGGATGTCACACACTATGCTCCTTTTGGAAAGCTAAAGTATATTTTTTTGTCCATTGACACATTCTCACACACCTGTTCGGCTACCGCTCATACAGGAGAGAAGTCTAAACATGCTCAGTCTTATTTTCTCCAGTGCTTTGCTACGTTGGGACTGCCCCAAAGTATTAAAACTGATAATGGACCATGTTTTGTGAGTAAAAATTTACAAGATTTCTTCTCACTTTGGGGAATTCAACATGATACAGGAATTCCCTACTATCCCCAAGGTCAAGCCATTATAGAACACAACCATCAAAACCTAAAAATTCAATTACAAAAACAAAAAGGGGAATAAGCCCCCACCAACAATTGGGTATGGCCTTATTCACTATTAATGTCCTTAATTTTCAAAAAAAAAATCAGTTGGAATCCCGGTTTCAGAAGCATTGGTGACGACAGGAGCAGAGACCTGAGGTACGGGTAAGGTGGAAGGACCCCATTACAGGACAATGGAGAGGCCCAGATCCATTGCTAACCGTGGGTCGAGGCTTTGGCTGTGTCTACCCTACAGGAGATTCAAACCCCATATGGGTGCCTGTGAAAAACCTTAAGTGGGTAGGCCAGGAACTGACTGATTAGCATGACGGTCCATGGACAATAATTCATGAGACAAAATTCCTCTCTTATTTGTATCCATCAGAGGTGAAGGACCAGTTCCTTGGCTTCATTGCCAGTCAGCCTCTTTGCCTTTCAGACAACTGGCTGATTGGCTAAAAGGTACATGGTCTCAGAAGTATTTCAACTTGTCCAAAGCCATGACTTGCTTTGTTTCTCTTGATAACGCTTATCTTTAAGTGTCTTTACCAGATAATTCAGCAACAGAGGACCCTTGGAACTGCCACAGCCCACCTCCTCATGATTACGGACTCCCCCAGGACCCCCTCTGGTTACCCACGCTTGGCTAACCGAGTTAGGCAGAGACTAAGACTGTCACGGGCTGGCATTACCCATGCAGCTGCCCTTAATTATGATGCATTTTTAGCCAAGGATGGGTAAGATGTCCCATGACAATTACTCCTAAGACAGGACATGCACATGGCCAGGTGCATGATCCAATGACGGGCAAGGCTTGATCAGAGGTGACACAACCTAAGACAGGCAAAAATGCCGAAGATTAGAGGAAGAAGATAGCCATCTCTCCTCAGGGAGCCGTCTATGAGGTGGGTAACCCGTGAAATAAAGTCAGTCTGGCCTTAAAATAAAAATAAAAGGGGGAGGTGTGGGGACCTAAAGGCCCCACCTTGCAGAAGTCTGAGAGGAAGTTACTGGGGCGTGGCCTGACTTTCTTTGAAAGTCTGAAGAATACTTCTGCACTGCTGAGGAGTGCATGATCAGCACGTGACCGTCCTTAAGATACACCCTCAGGGGGGAGGGGGGATTTCCAGGTGCCTTTATAAGCTCTGTAACACCTGTAATAAATGAGTCCCTGCTTGACTAAGCTCCCTGTTGCGTCTGAGTGTTCCCGGTATTGGTGCCATGGGCTGGCGAACGGCGTGCTTACTAATCCCCAGTCATCACTGCCTGGGGGTCGCTGGTTTGAACCCCCGGCAGTCAGTCAGTCACATCAATTATTCGGCACATAGCAGTAAACGGAGATCTTTGAACTAATAGCTGTCATGGGTCCAACACCCAACACAACAGTAGGTGTTTAAAAGAAATCATATACTATCTCCATTGATTGTTAGAAATGGGCTAACCCAAACCCACCAAACCAAAAAGTAATGGGCACAGGCACCTGGGTAGATCTCACAAGGGGTCAAGGGTCTCCTTGGAGTTACGCTTGCCCCTTTCTGGGGCTTTGTGATTAGCATCTATGTGTCTACAGATAAGGGAAGGCTCCCTCCCCAACTCCCACCTTTTAGCCTGGCTTTCTTAAAGGACCCACAAGTAAGGAAGAATGGAAATGGTTGGTACCTCTTGCTGTGAGTTTTATCTGAGGTGATGCAGGCCTCCCAATGAAGATCATGTCCCTTTATATGTGAGTTAAAGAGATCAGTGAGGTCTTGTGTCTTTTGTCCAAGGTCACACAAAGGAATGACACTGACATTCTAATTGGGATCTGCCTCAAGCTTATTCCTTTTTAACCAGATTACATTGGGTGTCACTTCCTTGCTTTTTAACATTCTCTAAACTTGTTGAGCTCCTGCTACCTGATGCTGAAGAGATGGGAATCCTAGCATTCTTTTCGCCTTTGTGAGACAGGGTCTCCTTGTAGCTCCAGCTGGCCTGGAACTCCCCATGTAGACCAGGCTGGCCTCGATCTCTCTTTCTCACAGGAATCTGCCTGCCTCTGCCTCCGTCCTGAGTGCTGGGATTAAAGGTGTGTGCCACAGACCCCAACCTAGCATTCTTTGGATGTGGCATGAAGGTGCAGAAGAAACCTTTCAAAGTATGTTCCCAAGTGTGCCGAGCTGATTTGTTTCTTAATAGGAAGGGCTGACAGCAGTCCTGACAGGCTGGGAAGGGTGTCAGGTGGGACCTTCTGATATCATCCAGCTCCTACCTCATGTATATACAAATGCATTTATGTTGCTGTAAGAACAGTCTTGGATGGAGCTAGAGAGATGGCTCAGTGATTAAGAGTACTGGCTATTCTTGCAGAAGACCCGGGTTTGATTCCCAGTATCCACATGGCA